TTAGGTTATATACTACCAAAATTTCTTTAATCAGATTTAATATAAAAAAATTTAAAAATTAAAATAGTGATATGTATTTTGAAACCACTCGATGAAAATTTGACGGCTGAGATTCCACCTATATTATTATTCATTATAGCTGCTCAGCTATTGTCAGATTTTTTTATATTAATATATAATAATAAAAATTATATATTATATTAGAGTAATGATCCTATGAGACCTTCCTACACCCATGTGTGTAGGACCCCAAATGATCACCATTAAATATGGCACATATATCTAAAAAAGTCAAATCCCATACCCATGTGATAATTTTTCTATGGTGATGCTTTGAGGTCCTACACACATGAGTGTGGAAGAATCTCATAGTATCATTACTCATTGTATTATATTATATAGAGTAATGACATTATGAGACCCAAACACACCCATGTGAGTAGGACCTCAAAGGATCACCATTAAATTTTGACGTAGATCTCTAGAAAAGTTATCACATGTGTGTGGGATTTGGGTGAATGAGTTATTGATAACATTTCTAAAGATCTGTGTCAAAATTTAATGGTGGTCTTTTGGGGTCTTACTCACATGAGTGTGAGCGTGTCTCATAGTATCATTACTCGATTATATAATATTAAATAATATATTCGTATAATATAATATTATCCATAATACTAATATTATTAGTATAATATAATCTAAAAATATTATATTTATATAATATAATATTTTTATATTCTATTATAATAGTATATATAATAGTATATATTTATGTAATATATTTATTTATATAATATATTTATTGTATATTATATAATATATTTAATATAAGGTTATGTTAGGGTACTCATACTATGAAGTAATTTATCATTGTACTTAATAAATTTGGACACTTATATACTATTGTTTTGTATGTAGAGTTTTTTTAATAGGGATATTTTTGTCATTGGGAGTGACGTGATGTCATCTATATGAACACTCACATGAAGCATTAAATACATTAGTGTGCTCCATATGGGTGATGTCACATCCTTCCAAATAACCAAAAATACCCTTATGACAAAAATACCCTATGTACAAAATAAAAGTATATAAGTGTCTAAAATTTGTTGAGTATAATAATAAATTACTCCACATTGTGAGTACCATAACATAACCTTTTAATATATAATATAATATATATAACATATCTACAGCCTATCAAAGCATTGTCTTAAAAGTAGATATGTCAAATTTCTCTTGAAAATATCCAATAATAGGGGTGCTCTTTACTTTTAGTGGTAAGAAAGCTTGCTGTACCAGAGCAGTGACCCAAATATAAGGATTTTGTCTTGAAATAGCCAGTTTTGTCAACTAAGCAATTGTAAATGAATATCTAAAGATAAACTCGAACTGTATGATAATACCTATATTAGAAGATTCCTGCTTTAATTAATAGGTAAGCATACAGTCTAAATTTAGTGCAAAGAGAGAGAGATGGGACTTGAGGAGAATTTTAGAAAAAGGAAGGGCCATATAGTCCAATTTCAGGGCAAAATTGTAGTTACCTTATTAGTGTTTGTCACTGAACTAGCATTTATAGTCTTATTCATGATAACAAATATGAAGATGGGTCATTCATAAAAGATTTATAAAAGTGAAGAGTGGATTTACTATAGCTTTTATATTATTTGCTACATGATTAGTGGTTAAGAGTTGTGATTATAATATGATCATTATTATGATCATAGAAGGGTGTCATTAACCAGTTTAAGCTTATTAGTGTTCTTTTTTTGTTTTCATATCTTTGAATGGTTGTCACTTACATAAATCGTTCATGCATGGATCATTTTGAGTAGAGAGTTTTTCATATGGGAAAATTCCATATAATTGGAAGTGAATTCAAGGAAATTAGGTTGTTGGCTTGGTGATTTGTTCGTTGAGGGCCGTAGCGAGTGTCTGGGAATGTAACCATGATTAATTAAATGAAAAAAGAAAAAAAATCTTTGAAATTTCATGAATCATATTAACTTTTCAAGAATGTGATCTCTAACTTGCTTCTTTAGATCCTAGTTACTCTTCAGACACCCATTATCCCAGGATTTTGGATGGTGAGCGAGTCAAAAATGCATATCTAACCACTAAATGCAGCTAAAATTTTTAGCTCATGGAACACACAGAGTAGGGCTTAATAATTTCCTATGTATTGGGATGGTTGGAAAGCCAGGCCATGTATCTAACTAGTAAATACAACTAGTTGTTTTAACTCATGGATTGCCTGGAAGAGGGGCTTAATGAATTTCCGATGGTTGGAAAGCCGGACCTTGTGTGTAACTAGTAAATAGAGCTAAAATTAAACTCAAAACCATGTTTGGAAGGATTTATCGAACTCCATATTTTACGGGAGTTGGAAGTCGGTTGAAAAGAGATATCACTGAGTAAAACTTAAAATTTCAGCCTAGGAACATGTACAGCAGCACAAATTTTTGGTGATTGATGAAGGTGGGGACGTTATGGTGCATTAGTAATAACTAAATACAACTCAATGGTTTGTCTTACTGAGGAATGACAGACCGGGATTTGTATAGCCGATCCCAATTAAGTGGGAAATGATGATGACAACTCAATGGTTTCAAAGATGGAACATTGACGATTAGGATTTAGTGAATTCTTGATGAGTTTGGAAGGTGGAAGGTGGAAGGTAGAGGTTTATATTTAATCGCTAAAACACAACAATGAATTCAGCTAAGGGACATACTAAGTTAGGACTTCCTGATTTTCCAATGATTCCAAACGTCATTGGGCTCAAACTGAACATGTCTAATAACTAAGTACAACATTAAATTCAGATTAGGAGTATGGAAAATACGATTTAACGAATATCCAATACGTCTGATGCACCGAACTAGACGTGCATAATTAATCACTTAATACATGAATAACGAATTGAAAGCTGACAAGCTTAGACAGATGACAAAATGCAAAACCTGATACCGAAGTAAGAGTGATGGTATTCTTGAACAAACATATTACAAATTGAGGCTAAGATGCTAATCCTGAATGACATAAAATTGCAAGATCAAATTTGCTTAAGCATGAAATACGTAAAGCATGATATTACAAATTAAGGCTTAGATATGGCATTATCCGTTTGCATATTTATGCATCTCTAAGCACCAAACAATAGCTATAACTTAAACTAGGAATATGGAAAGTAGGATTTATCGAATTGAAACTCGAAGTAAGGCGCAAAACATCTTGCAAAGTTCTAAATGAAGGCATTGGTCTGCATGGTGTTTGAAGTTTGAACAAATTTTGCTCCAGAATAATTTCAAATCGAAATTTTATGAAATACTGTAGAGTTTGGGGTCACATTTGCTCTTCTTCTAGAATAGAACAGAAAACCAAAAGAAGAGGGAAAGGACCCTTATTTTCAATTAAGGACATCATGGTCACAATGAAAACATGTCCAAAGGGCACTATCAATAGATTTAATCCCCAAAGAGGGACACCAAGTAGTCTAGAGAGAGCATTGATGGTCTTGCATAGGTTCAATGGATGTGGCTCTGTCTTAGCCATTATAAGGAGCAAAGTCTTTCACACAAAGTAGCAATAAGAGGAAAAGCAAGAATGAAAATGGTGAGGAGGGGGAGGAGGAGGGACTTTACAGTGGAGCCCATCTATGAAGTTGAAGAAGAAATAGAGGACAGTGATGAAGAGGACATGGAGCCTATTGGAACTGGTGATTTCTCAGAAAACCTCAAATGTTGTGTCCAAACATGGTAATCACACATTGCATCATGCCTTTAGCCTCTCACTCTTTGTTTGTTTTCCTGTTTGTGTTTTTAGCCCAAAGTTCTTAAGATTGTGATTTCCAATTGCTATCATGTTGCCATGTGAGAGATGCATTACTAAGGTCTTTAGCGTGTTATTATGCAAAAGAAGAGATAGAGGGATTATATATCATGCCTGCTGAGGTCTTTGGCTATCATGTTGCCATGTGAGAGATGCATTACTAAGGTCTTTGGCGTGTTATTATGCAAAAGAAGAGATAGAGGGATTATATATCATGCCTGCTGAGGTCTTTGGTGTGTTATTCTGCAAAAGGAGATGATTTGGGAACTTGTGACCTTTCATTTACTTAGAAATAGACATTATTGCATGTGAACCCTCTTAGAAAACAATTTAAATTTTCTGTTGTCCTACTTTAATCAAATTTGCTATCCTTCACAGAACAATAAATAAGTTTGCCTCAAGTCTTTTATGTGATCAGTAACAAGTTTGCATTAGATCTGGTTGAGCCTTAAGCCAGATTGATCGGTTAAGAGATTATGCTTCAGATAAAACTGTTTTCTTTTAAGAACCATTTATCTTTTCTTCAAATCTACTCTCAAAATGACCCAAAAGAGACATCTTTTTTTTTTAATAGATTTCATGTAGATGTTTTCTAGATTAGGTCATTTGGTACTTTGAATCCTGAATATATACAATTTTTGGAATTTAGTGACGAATACAAGCCTCTACCCGTTTCTTTCAAGTAGAATATGAGTTAGCTTTTTGAAAGTCTTAATGGGGTGATGTTAATAGAGGGAATGAAAACCGTACCGTGGTGACTAGGGTGTGGGGGTGCTACCCCTACGATCCCAGCTCCTTTCCAGTAATCCCGAATATTGATAAAAGAGAAATGAAAAAATATGGATGAGATTGCGGCATCGGTGGTTAGGGGGCGGGTGCCTCAACTTAAAGTCCCATCATCCATTTCCATTATTAACATATCCAAAAACAGGAGAAAAAAAAGAGACGTGAAGAAATAATCGCTACAAAATTTTATTTTTTATAATTTTTTAAAATAACCATTAAACCCCTAAATTTCGAGAATAGAACCAAAAGATTCTTGTTTCACATAAGCATTTTCATAACTCACTCTGTTGGGCAAAACATATTTTAGAAGTGCCACTTCCTTGGGCGAAACTCATTTTAGAAAGTGTTGCTAGGAAGCAAATTTTGGACATCTAACCTCTTCAATCCAACAATCAATGATAATGTTTTCTTTTGGAAACAAATTATATAAGATTAAGTGTCAAAATTTTGGATGTTGAATAATTACCACTAAAATTAAACATAGAGTTCAAATTTCATTTTAGTGGTTTATTCTTTAAGATAATTATCTAGTGGTTTTTAAAATTTCAAATAAGAAAAACACTAAGTAGGTCTTTTACCTGAGGGAGCAATTGTACAGTTTGCTCCCACATGTGCACGATACATAGGGGTGGCAATGGACCCAACCCTAGACCCGCCGGGTATACCTGACAGGGTCCAAGTATGGGTCCAACATTTGGACCCGGCAGGTCTGGTTCGGATCCAAAACCTAGACCCAAACACTATTGGGGTACATGTCTGGGTCCGGTTGGACTCGATCTGTACCCGTAAACTGTTGGAGATAAAATACTTCAAGCCCTATTCGTCTGGGTGTATTAAAGATTGTATATAATAAGAACTCTGAGTCATCTTTAGCTATTAAATGACAAATCAAATGGTGGGTGATTGTTACCTTATTGCCGATAATATGGATATATGATAGTAAAAAAAAAGGGCAAAAAAAAAGAGAAGTTCATAGTGAGGGTGGCAATAGACCTGACTAAATAGACTCGGGACCCGATAGTACGGGTTAGGGTCCAAAACCTGGACCCGAATACTATTCAGGTATGGGTCCAGGTCCAGCCAGAGCCGACCCGTACCTGGCACATTGCCACCCCTAACGATACACCCAAATAAACGAACAACTTTACGTCGCTAGCCTCTAAACTAAACACAAATTTTCAATTTTTATTTTATTTTTTGAAATATATTAAGAAGTCTAAGTTTTTCAAAAGATATTTAAAAGCCTTTTTTATTTTATATATTTAAATTAAACAGATAGGCATGGACATCTATCTTTTTTCGAAAGACTTTTCTGAAAAACTTTCTTCTCTATAACCTTACTGAAATTTCTATCTCTTCATTCATTTGACATCTTTGAATTTTGATTTTGATAAAAGTATGAAAAAAAAGTCGGATTAAAATAAAAATCTTGATTCATTAAAATATTCTCTCAAATATTTCACCAACATATTCCCTTTAAAGAATTGCATTACAGGAAAATATTAGCAAAGTATTTTCAGAAAAAATATTCTTCTAAAAGAGTCATATATCTCAAAATAATAGATATAGTTAGAGGACGACTAACCCAGTGAATAATTTTATTTTTCTCTAAATCAAGAGCATCATTATAAAGAACGAAAAAAGATTCACCAACATTTAAAGATTTAGGCATATGGTGAGGTCTGAATATTTGGGTGAGCATTATATTGCTTTCTTATTAATAGAAGTTGGATTAATTTCACCATTTTTGAATTTTTTGTCATTGTATTGGTGTATACAAGACGATAATTTGGGTGGAGCATTATTTCACATTTTCTTGATTTTGTCGTTTTAATTAGAATCCGATTGAGAGTCTTTTTATATTCGTTTTCTAGTAATCATTTATCTTGGGGTTATAGTTCTCGTTATTTCTTGATGTAGTTGTTGAGTTTGTTTACGTTGTTGTTTCATTATATACTCCCAATAAAATCGTCATTCGGTGATTCATATTTTTGACCTGATATCTTATCACAGGAATTTTAGAACAAAATTGATTTGCTACTTGTGTTTTCATTAACCCATACACTGTTGGCTGGTATGCACCCAGGCCCAACCAGGTAGCTCCGGCCTTGGCCCATAATTGTGGGCCTTGACCTTGTTTTATTGGGACCGTATCCACCATCTAGGTTCAGCCCATTCTCTATAGACTTGAGCCGTAGCCTGACCTGGTTAATCTTATTATTAAAAGGACATGTCAAAATATGTAAGAAAAAAAATCAGATTTATGATTTGTTCTTGTAATATAATTGATAAAAAAATTATTTACCTTTTGTACAAGGATGTCACAACTATTCTTACTCATTAGATATCAAATTGGATAGCTTGATGAGTCCGAAATTTTTTTTTTGAACTTTGTCTCTAATCAATGACACTCTTACACACCTATTTTGAAATCTAAGGGTAAAAAATAATTACAACCTCGTTGTACAAAAGATAAATGGTGTTTTTGGACCATCCCTAATTGAAAACGCGATTAAACAAAAAAGCGATGGATCGGCAATATGGATAAATTTTTATTAGTGTCTACATTGCAAATGAGTGCTCTAGCAAATTCATACAAAACATCGCGTTTCTAAAATGAAAATCATACTCCCAATTCTCTCTCTTTATCTCTCTGTTTAACACAAGAAAACCTCTTTCTAAATGGTTGCTAGGAAGTAACAGAGAAAATACTAATTTCAAGATTTGTTTCAAAAGTGTTTAAAGAATTGATAAAACATTCAATTGATAAGTTTATTAAAGCATTTTTATTTTTTTATTTTTATAATTTATAAAATTTTATTGATATTTCGACTAAGTATTCCATTCAATTAATTAGTAAAATGCCTATAACTCATCTATTTTGCGGAAACATATCAAAGTATTTTAGCACTACCACGAACAGACTGGTAGATGTATTAGAAATCGCGTTTGTAATCCATTTTTTATTTCAATGAGTTGGGTTGGCATTTGGTCCGATTCAACTAACTACTATATCATGTTCTTTATTGTATTTGTCATTTTATTATTATATATTTCTAAATTTTTATATTCTATTTGTTTTTAATATTTATTTGTAGAAGATAATATCGATTTTTATTAATATAAATAGAAAAAGTATTTATTTCTATTATCTAATAATTGGATATTCATATTTATTTAATGGTGATTCATTTCTTAGTAAAATGTAGTATTAGTAAAATCAAAGTTGCAATCAATTTTTTTACTAAGACTTCGAACTGACAAATTCCAAAGTCAAAGACTTAAGGAAATGACTTACTATCTTGAAGAATAATAAACTTTTTGACAAAGACTGATTTCGGGCCATGGATTTTGAAAATCCGAAGTCAACATCCTCCAGTTTTTTTAAGTGGTTCCAGTTTTTTTAAGTGGTTTCATACCTTGAAGGTGAGAATTCAGGTCTTAATTTCAGATCTTCAAGCTAAGAATTGTCTTCTCAATTTTAACCTTGAAGGTATGAACTTGGGGCATATGGGAAAAAATTAAAAAGAGAGCGAAACAACTATACATTTAAATGTAAAAAAAATCACAAGGACTTTTATAATAACATTACTTTATGGGGTGATGACCCAAAAATTCTCTTAAAATTACTTTCCTTTTTTCTTGTAAATAGTATAAATATAATACAAGGGTATCTATTATAAAACTAGGTTATTTAAAATCAAATAGCAAGGTTTTCTAGGAGTGGTGTCTCCAGGTTTCATAATATAGATTTCCAAAGTATCATAAATATAAAATTAAATGATTTAAAGAATTTCAAATTATAACAACTTGGATTACTTTGAATTAATCCAACTAATAATATCTAAAGACCATTAGGTTTTTATAAAATATCATATTTATGAAATTATTCGGTGGCCCCGTTGGACCAAGTTGTGCATTTGGTCCCATGGCCAAACACTTAGTTAAGGGGTGTTTGTTTTGACCCTGACACTCTTAAATAATCCTTATTCATCTATGCAATCACATTGAAAGAAAAGAAAATAAAACAAGAAAAAAAAGATAAAGAAAATTCATTCAAACTTGATTTGAAAAATTTGAAGTCATAAAGTTTCCCAGACTACGTGTTTTTCCCTTTGGACCATTCATGCGTTTGGTCATCATACTGGTCCACCATACATGCCCCCAATAGATGATTGCAAGATTTTTTAAATGATATTATTTTTGAGCCTCTCCTTTTCTATGAGTAAATTTATTTAAAAACTCTTGGAGTTGTAATACAAGTTAAAAATTTTGTGCATTATATGCTTTGTTGGCTTTTACTTTTCCCCTAATTCGTTTGGTGCCCCTTTCCTCGCAGGCACAAGATTACCAACCGCTGCGTTGATATTGTTATTCATGTTGAGAACCGAACTTTCTTCCTCCACAGTGTAATAAAGACAATACTGACCCTCTACATAATGTTATTATTTTTTTTAATGTTAATATGGGTCTCGGCAGAAATTAAACTCAAGACGTCACATTTTAGCACCCACCACCCAAATCACAGGCCCATTCCCCACTCTACGTAATAGTATCCAAAAAACAAATAAGATATCTCACTAAATGCTAAAATTGATGTTTTGGTGCTAGTGGAAAAATTTCACAAAAGATGGAACCAAATCTCAAAGTGAAAGAAAAATTTAATAATCCTAAATTATTTTGAGGAAAAACATACTGGCTCAATGGGAAAATCAATTGCTTTGAACCATCAAGAAATTAGAAATTGTTAGTGCTTTATAGCCTTAGTATTGTATAGCCAATTGTTTAAACACAGACTTTCTTAATATGTTTTACAATTTCATTCCTTTTATAGCATCCCCTCACATCGAGAAGCGGTTACATGAAACGACATCTCAAAGAATCTAATAACATAAGACTGGATGATATCAAGATCACTGCACATACGTTCGACATGGTCATCGAGTTCTGTTATGGATCCAACCTTCCCTTCACACCACAAAATATAGCTGCTCTGAGATGTGCAGCTGAGATACTTGAGATGACTGAGGAATACGAAGTCCATAATCTATGTAGGAGAACCAAATTCTACTTCTCCCAAGTGGTGACTACTGATAAGGAAGTTGCAGAGGTTGTCCTATATAAGTCCCTAGAATTGCTTCCCGAGTCCGAGAATGGAGTGTTCCTGGTTAGTCAATGCATTGAAACTCTACTGACTCCAAGGGAAATTTGGTGGGAATCGAATAAGAGGAGAGAGGGCAATGGAGGACACATAAGGAATCCTCAAGTGGTTTCCAGTGCGTGGGTGCCTAGTGTGGTTCAGTTGTCTCTAGGCCTGTTTGAGGGGATTATGAGATCTGTGCAGACACGCTTGATCGGGAGCCATGATGGGATCTATGCGGTTATTGATGCCTATCTTAAGGTAATTTTATATTTTCTTTATGGAAGATGATCTATAAAACATAATCATACTTTGCTAAATGTATACGATCACGATCACAACTGTTTGGGGCCAATCGTGGAACGTGAAGATGATATATAACTCCATGTCGAGGGCAATGAGTGTTAGGTTTGGTGATAGTCAAATCACCATACCTATGTTTTTATTTGGGATTACCGGTTCTGCAAGCGAGGAGTTCCCGAGAACCCTATAATAAGGATATATGATATGGAGTTATAAATCATCTCAATCATCTATGATTGGCCCAGGTTATGTCTTTCATGTAGAACCTAACTCATCATGATCATTTCCCTTCCTTTATTATAGGGGATGGTGGGGTGCTGTGTTATGGCCCATAGTGGTGGGTCGGTTATTCTTTTCTTATAGGGTTGGATGGTATGATTTACAACTATCCATCAGAAGACATAGATTTGAGGCATGCAAGTTAGATTTGCAGGCCTTAAATTGTGCCTGGCCAAACCTAATGAGTCTGTCTGTGACCCATACTTCGGCCTTAGCAAGAACCTGCTTTGCTGATTGCTTTAGAAGAATGTGTTCAATTTTTCCCTAATCAAATGAGATTTCAAATGACTCCAATTCCCAAACTTGCAGCTTCTTGATATTCTTGACAATTGCTATATATTAATTTACTTTTTTAGTGGTGACACTCATCTCATACAACTCATAGGTTGCATAATTTTCTTTTTCTTGTAAAAGATTCAATAAGTTGTAGTAATTATTCCCAATTGTATGAGGGCTAGATTTAGCATATGCTTAGGTAGAACTTCCATCTCTATTTTTAAATTTGATTTTCTCAATGATCTAATAGTCGGTAATGTGATTGTATTGAGTTATGGTGGGATTGCAATCATCCCTACATATAGACCTCTTAAACCATTAGACCTTTAATTTGTAATCCCAAAAACACGAAAAATGTTCACATTTTCCCTGTTTAGGAAGGGTTTCAAAATATCTTCATCAGCAAAGTTCAATTTAAAAAGAACTAGAGAAAACGTGATAAATTTACTTAATAATGCTTGATTCAAGTGAAAAATGTCATTATCTGGCCATAAAAGCAAAGAAACGTTTATTGAACTCGCCTAGCAATGCTTGCAGGAACATAAAGAAATGACAGTAGAGGAGAAGAACCAACTCTCCAGATGCCTTGATTGTGGTTTCCTTTCGGCTGAAGCACTCATGCACGCTGTGCAAAATCCGAAAATGCCCCTGATTGTTGTAGTTCAAGCATTATTTGCCAAGCAGATCAAGCTTCGTCAACTACTTCAAGCAGAAAGCAGCCATTATCATATCCAAGAAACAAGCTTGGGTGACATTCTAAGCTGCCATGCCGCCCATCGAGAAGTGGCACAATTGGAGGCATCCATCAACACTACGTATATGAGGATTGCAAGTATAGAGAGGGACCTCTTTGACATGAAGAAGAAGCTAGAGGATTGCAAGAGAGAAGAACTTGTTACAGAAAAATCAGCGAGTTTTAGAGTTGTAGAGGAAGAATTGAGCAGCTATATTAGAGAAAGGACAGAGAAGGAGAGCTTTGCACGAAGTTTGGCAAGAAATTTGAAGGCCTTTGGGAAGAATGCTTTGAAAATTGTGAGTCAAGGTATGAAAGAAGGTGCTTCTGGTGAAATCAAACAATATTTTCATCGTCGACACCGATCTTTCTCCTAAATTGCCATCAGACTAAAGGACATTGTTGTTCTATGGATATGTGGTTGGGACATCTCAGTGATATGATTTTATTCCCGAACTTGGGTTTTTTTCATCTTTTTCTCGTTTCATTTTATTTATTTTATTTATTTTGTTATGAGTGTTTTTAGGAAGATAAAGAGATGTCAGCTTTTGAGTTATTAGCATGATAATTTCTCGACTCCTAATATTATGGCCACATATTCAAATTTGGAACTCATTTGAATTGTTTTTAATGACTGATATGAAATTCAAGTAAGAGAACTTAAACTAAGAATATATGCAAGACACATCAAAATGTCTAGTGACAAAGACTTCCTTTGCATAATTAAATACATAAATGGTGTTTTAACTTCCTTAAGATGTGGAAAATGCACATTTTACAAGAATGGAAAGATTCAAGTACTTGTCCCCCCATGAGAAAGCACAGATAGAGAGATGAAAAACTCCAACTAAATTTGATTCTTAAAACAGTTTAAGAGAGCACATGTTATTTCCAGTAAATCATATCTTTTTCCCTTATTTAATACCATTAATAAAGAGCACAACTGTTATAAATATTGCAGTAAAACTAAAGATGACATGTGCTTTTCTGATGACAAAAGCAAACCATGGAAGAGAATGATACACTCTTAATCTTGATTGATAGGATGTTTAGGAAGTAGATTCTTATGTTGTAGGGATTTAGGTTGAGTTTGTTGTTTAGATGGGTAGGATAAATATATAATTATTGTGTAGAAAAAGTATAGGATAGAAATTATGGTTGCTTGAGGTAGTGTTTTAAAAGTAAATAAATAGCTGAAATAACGGTTGTTGAGGAGTTTGACCAAAATTTACAAGAGGTATAATATGCGTTATAAACATGATCTTATATATAGTTTAAGCGTCTAATACATAAAGTTTTTATTGATAAACCAGAAGAGAAATACAGGGCATGATCAAGCAACGCTCGAAATATTAAAAGAACACCGAATCCATTGTATTTCTAATTGTTGCATGCCTCTTAGAGAGTACAATTTCAGCATCTAGACTCATACAACAGCTGATCTTCAAGGAATGCCTATGAGAGGACTGTAGTCTAAGTCAAGAAGGTGTTGCATAATAGAAAAACCAAATATTTTCTTGTTTATTTTACATATATCTCTTCACAATCTGTACATGTCTCTTTGTTGTATATATCTGAGTAGTTGTATGTATATAAACTACTATATATATATATATATATATATATATATATATATACCAACTCGAGCTGAGTTAGTGACAAAAATATTGTTTTTTAATATAATTTTTATGCTCATTGAATGATCTATAAATCACTTGCATATGGGGTTTTCACAAATCATCCATTCATTGGCTGATAATGTAACTTGCACAATATATACCATGTCATTTGAGCATTGTTCGCAAAATTGCCCGATCTAACCGCTAATTACCGGGTTAGATCGGAACCGGCCAGTTCCAGTTTTGGGCGGTTAAGGTGATCAACTGGTATTTTAAAAAAAGAAATTTAAAAAAAAATATAAATTCTCAAAAATAAGGAATTTTGATTTGTAATGCATTTTTAAATATTCTTTATATTATGGTAAAGATTAAAAATTGCTTTGGTCATTAATACTTTACATTTTCTCATTTTTTTAGAAATTTAAAAAATGGCCCTTGTAAAATATAAAATGAGTTAAAATCCGTTTTTTTCATTAATTTTCAATTACATATGAATATGTTTTGTTTTAATCATTCTTTATATGCTTTTCATATTTTAGTAGATTTTTTTTTTTGTTTTTTTTCAACACTTTTTTGACCGCCTGAGAGCCTGGTTAGAACAGTTGAATCGGTCGGTTTACCAATTAAGCCGGTTAACCGCTTCCAGGCCCATATCCAGTTAACCGTTCCGGTTCGATTTTGCGAACACTGCTTTTGAGAGATCAGTTGATTATTGCTTTTAAGAAACCATGATACTTGGTCCGTATATCATTAGATGTCATCACGTTGAAAGAGAGTGAAATGTCATGCACCATTTTATTATAACTGTCCTTGAGAGATCTTTAGCTCTTACCACTATTTGTATAGGTTTTTAATCGTGTCGATTAATATTGATTGCATTTTTTTTTTTTTGCATAAGTTATACAAATTAACATCATATTAGGGCTGATGGCTCTATGAAGAAGCCTAAATCCATCAGTTTTATTATGCTGTTCCAACTTCCTAGTAAGTGTATTCAAATCCTCATAATGCATTCTCAAATCCAACTTTGCGTGACAGCAAACAATTGCAAATAAGTTTACTCCACACTTGATCTAGTTTATTTGACGATTTGATCCCTCGCTGGACCAGGTTTCTCTCTTACTATACATCATTTGATATGGACTTTCATTTTAGTTACTTTGCGAGTTTTCTTGCTTTGTTATTTTCCCTTTTTGAAGCCAATGGTTATTGCAACTCTATTTTTATTACCATCATCAACTGGGGGACTTTGTTATAATGCCTAAGTAGTCCATTGCAATAGAACCGAAACCAAGAAGAAAAAAACAGAACACCCTTCCTATTTTAATGAGGGTGCACTTGGCATACGGACACATATGTAGCTGCAGAGGGAAGGTGCAGTTTCAAATTTATCAAGGTATATAATTTTGATGTAAAATGTTTTTAAGATTATCTCAAAATCTATTTTTATATTTAATTATAAACTTTTAAATTTTAAAAATAATTAAAATCAAGTAGATCTATAAACATATGAAAATCTTGAAAATGGACGGTGTAGGTAATATGTTGTAAAATGCACTATTTCTGAGACTTAAAATCTTTTTATGTTGTAAAATGCACTATTTCCCGATGCATTTTTGAGGTGCATTCGTAGTTCTACATTATAAAGTTGCATCCTAATATAATTTTTTTCCTTTTTGATAATGAGTTTTGTTAGGCTACCCCCTAAATATATCCCTATTTATGATGCTCTTTATATTTTTGGCCAATCACTCACGTGCATCCCCATTTTTGTCTATGTTGAATGTATACTAGTTTAGCAAACTACATCCCTTGTCCCTAACTTACTAAACACATTGTACTCTCTCTCTCTCTAGCATGCAAAACTGGCACGTCAAGCAAATAATGTCTAAGTAATCCTACTTATTGATGTTCACTAGAAGCCTTTTAAAAAGACGCAGAAAGTCTACTGGAACAAAGTAATCTCGAGAATAGGCTGGTCTTTGCGGTAGAACCAACGAGCTCTATGATGAAGTCTTTTACTCCATTCTCATTAAAGGGTAGGGGCCCAAATCTTCACTGACTTACTACTTTTAAGGACAGCGGCTGGGGTCGTGGTGGTAGCATCCCCACACCCAGTTACCACATCGTGATATCCATTCTTGATGGTAGCATCCCCACACCCCACACCCAGGTACCACATCGTGATATCCATTCGTGGTGGTAGCATCCCCACACCCAATTACCACATTGTGATATCCATTCCTACCACTCACACCCCGTCGTGGTGGTAGCATCTCCACACCCAGTTACCACATCGTGATATCTATTCCTACCACCCACACCCCTAATTAACACTTTCAAAATGTAACTCCCCAATCTATTGAAAAAACGTGTAGGCGTCTGTCTTCCCTACTGAGTTATCAAAAAAAAAAATAATTAAAAACACAAAAAACAAAAAGAGTAATATTTGTGACACCCAAAAGCACTATATGGTTGAAGTTGGTGCTACGAATATAAGTCGATTCTTTTAACAAGGTCTATATTGATCTTTGTATAGTCTAAACAAATATTCTTATTTGTCAACAAACTTGACTTAAAATAGCTCTCACCTATTATCTAATGGAATGACTTAAAAGAAACTTTCTTACAAAAAAAGAGAGTTCTTAACTATTAATTTCTTACAAATTGTATTCTTAGAAAAATAAATAATAAAATTCATAGCAATTGAATTTTGGTTTTGAATTGTTCCCTCCGAAGCACTTTATTGAGGAGTTAGGTTTTTGAAGTATCTCTTTAGGGAGGAGTATGTCACGTTCTTGTTTGCACCACATGTGTTCGTATTGAAATGATATGACTCCTAATATGAAAAGGGGGTCTCCTTCCCTTCATCATTATATTGTATGAGGCGAGAGCCAAGTACCCTTCCAAGGAAGCTATGTATAAAATGGTCTGCCTGAAAATGACGACATAAAAATTGGCGGTTCAAGAGATAATTTCTGATATCTTGGAAGGCATTTTGGTATGCTTCATCCCATACAAAAAGGGAAATCCTTCTTCATGAGTCTCACAAAAGGTTTGCACCATCCAGACAAATTAGAAAGAATCTTTGGGTGCGTCTTAGGGTTATTTTAACTCATAAAGATTCTTAGGTCGAGGCATGTCCTCAATAGCTCTAATTTTAATGTTGTTAATCTTTGCCTCACAAAAACCTTAAAAATATTCCTGATTTGACTTCAGATGCGCACTTCAAAGGGTTTATTTTGAGTTGATGCTTCCAAAGCTAGTCAAACACTACCCTTGAGGTCATGGATGTGAGTAGATCATTAAACTTTATGAACAGGTCTTCATCATACCACTCCATATGTTTAGTAGGATATCTTCAAATATAACTGTCATTGCAAGCTAATAGGTAGCTCCTAGATTTTTTGAGTCCGAAAGGCATCATTTTTTAGCAATAAACTCTCTTTGGTCATTCAGATTTTCATTAGTTCTTCACCTTCGGTAGCCATCCCCATATCATTGTATCCTTTGTACCTGTCCATAAAAGGGAAGGCTTCACATGAACCTATGGAATCAATCATCATCTCTGTTATGGGAAGAGGGAAACCATCATTTACGCATGCTGCATTTAGGTCCAAGTAGGATAAATGACTTCCCTGGTGATCTCGGTTTTCACTTATCAAATACTTTTTTAGGTCCCCTCTAAATACCTGCCCCAAAATTTATTTCATTTAATTTATTTTCAATATGTTTTTGGATCACTGAATCCAGACTCCATCTGGATTGCCGATCCGATATTGAGACATGGATTAGTGAGTGAAAAATCCACTAAAAGAATCATGGTTTTGAACACTACGACAATAATACAAATGGGAAAATTGCCTAATGTTTCAAAACGGGTCAATGAATAGGGCAATTTGCATCTCTATCTAGTTCACCAATTTAAGTTATTTTAAGCCCCATTTGATTTCCCGGAAATAGATGCCTCTCCTGAAATTGGTATCTCCTGAAATTAACATCTTCCTGGAATATAGGTGTCCATTATTTGGATAGTATTTGCTAAGGGAACAAAAAGATACCTGTCCACCATTTGGATGGCTGAAAGAATGTATCTCCCAAAACGTATCCTATAATAATATATTATTATATTATACTATAATATAAATTATATTACACTATAATATAAGATTATATTATATTGTACATTATAATATTACATACATTATTATGGATTAAAAATATATATAAATTATTGTATATAATATATATTAATTATATATGATATAGTATACAAATTACCTTATGTATAGTAATATAATTTAATCATGATTTTAGAATATATAATTACTATATTTATATAATTATTATAATATAATATGCATATTAATTATATATGATATAGTATAGAAATTACATATATATAGTAATATAATTTAATCATGATTATAGTATATATAATTACTATAGGTATATAATTGTTACAATAATTATATAATTAATGTTAATTATATATACTTATATATATTAAGATATTATAATATTAAATATCTATTATAATATAGAAATTACTTATATATAGTAATAGCTAATTAATTATAATTATAATATGGGGAATGATTGTGTGTGCTTTGCTCTATATCCATTAACAGATCCATGAACCTCAAGGTTCCTCTCTCCTTATAAGCATCAACATCACATCATTAACTGTGTACGTCCTCTCTCTATCAGATCAGTAAAGCTTTGTCGTTGATGCAAATGATCACAAGCTTTAATTTGGATAAAGAAAATAGTTTTGTAAACCTCAATCCCTAAAATTAGATTATTTTTAGAGATGCAACTCTTCAAAAATATCAAAGGCCAAAGTTTATAGGGAGGGAAAAAAAACATCCAATTGCCTTGTTTTAAACTCTTCTGAGTCCATAATATTTACGAATTAAAAAGGAATCGCAGATAAAACCTCTCTCAAGACCCCCAAAGATAACCCTTTGAAGCGCCTTGAAGAGTTCATCTCAATAGAAAATGTATCCTTGCAATTATAGTTAAAATGATATCTTAAATTTGTAATTGCCAAAAACGAACTAATTTCACTCTTACTTTTCTCCTCTTAATATATCCTAGGCTCTCTTTCGATAGAAAAAATGGAGGTATTTAAAAATCACTTTTGTGTTTTTTATTTTTTTGTTCATTTTCATCTTTGTTTTAAATGTTTTGGATTCTAGGGAGTTTTAGTAGGACGAATCCCATGGGTTTGCTGGGTCTAAATTTGTTTCACAAGAGAGAGAAGAAGATTAGGTGCCTTTGAGAAGAAAAGATCCTAAAGATATTGGAGTAACTAGAGAGAAAGAGTGAGAGAGAGAATATCAATTATTGAGTTAAGGATGATCATAGTTAATGGAAGTGTTGTGGGTGCAGGTTTCAGCAGGGTACAAGAGAGAGAAAGAAGGAAGAAAGGCCATTTTTCATAACAAAGGTTTAAAAAACTTTTATACACAATATTACAGTGTATTTAAATACACATGATCAATATATATAATTATTATAATATATATATATATAAAATCATGTCAGTCTACGCGTTGATAGCTTCAGTATCAACCTTGAATCTGGGTTAAATCCAATGGTCACAATCTCATTAAGTATTTGAATTTTTATTTTTTTTATACAAATCCAAATCACTTGAACTTTTGAGTGTATATTCTTAAAAAAATATTAGAATCTAATAAAAACTATTAAAAAAATATATATATACGTTGATTAAAATACCTTTGAAACTTTTCAGGATTATTTTGATCAATTTATATTTTTAGAATTATTGTTTTTATACTTTTATTAGATGTGCCGATTTGCCTTGATGAGTAGAATATACGTCTAAATTTTCAAGTGATTTGGATTTATAGAAAACAAATGACAATTCAAATACGTCGCTACCGTCAAATCAACCCAGATTCAATCTAGGGCATTGGTTGCTGACACTATAGCAGTCAGCCCATCCATTCCCTAAATATTATAATATATAATTATTATTAGAGCTTTTTTCCCACTATTTGTAGTCGACTATTATCAGAGCTTTTTTCCCACTATTCCCACTATTTGTGATCGACTACAGAGCTTTTTTCCTACTATTTGTGGTCGACTATTATCAGAGCTTTTTACTATTTGTGGTCGACTATTATCAGAGCTTTTTTCCCACTATTTGTGGTCGAGTACAGAGCTTTTTCCCACTATTTGTGGTCGACTATTATCCGAGTTTTTTTTTTTCCCACTATTTGTGGTCGACTACACAAATCCTTGTACGCTATTCTGCTCTATAAAGGGTCACTTACCCTGGTCACATATTTTGAGTGAAGCTATAAGTCGTCATATCTTTTCTCACTACTTCCAACCATATACTTTTGGGGTTAAACAAATATAAAAAGACTATATCTTTTCTAAAAGACATCACCCCAAAGTTCTCTCTTTCTCTCTCCTTGTACGCCTTCTCTCTCTCCATATCCCTTCTCTCTTTCTTCATCTTTCTCATCTCTCATGCTCTCTCCCTTCTCTCTTTCTTCGTCTTTATCATCTCTAACCCCTCACGCTCTCTCCTCCTGCTCTCTCTTTTTTCACATTTTCAATCCAAACGCTAACTCTCTCTCCTCCCAAAGTTTCTTATTTCTACCCTCACTTTCTCTCCTCCCAAAGTTTCTTATTTCTACCCTCACTCTCTCTCCTTCTACCTTCACTCTCTCTCCTCCCAAATACCGAGTTTTTTTCACATTTCTTATCTCTCTCCTCCCAAATACAAAGTTGTTTCACATTTCTTATCTCTCCCCTTATTCTCTCTCTTCCCAAATACAAAGAAAAAGAGAGGTGTATGGATAAACAATCTCTCTCCTCCTGCTCTCTGTTTTTTCATGTTTCCCATCTCTCCCTTCGCTCTCTCTTCCCAAAACACAGAGAGTGTTATCTGTTTTTGCACGTTTCCCATCTCTCCCCTCACTCTCTCTTCCTCACTCTCTCTTCCCAAAATACAGAGTGTTCTCTATTTTTTCATGTTTCCCATCTCCCCCCTCACTCTCTCTTCCCAAAAATATAGAGTTTCCCATCTCTCTCCTCACTCTCTCTTCCCAAAATACGGAGTTTTTCATCTCTCCATTCCCTCTCTTTTCTCAAAATATGGAGTTTCCCATCTCTCCCCTCACTCTCTCTTCCCAAAATACGGAGAGTGTTCTCTGTTTTTTCACGTTTCTCATCTCTCCCCTCACTCTATCTTCCAAAAATACGGAGTTTCCCATCTCTCCCCTCGCTCTCGCTTCCCAAAATACGAAGTTCCTTATCTCTCCCTTCCCTCTCTCTTCTCAAAATATAGAGTTTCCCATCTCTCCCCTCATTCTCCCTTGCCAAGAAAAAGAGCACTCTCCCTTCCCAAGAGAAAGAGCGGTGTTTGGATAAATATGAGAGATATTGGTGTTTGGATAAACAGAGTATAAACATGGGAGGAGAGATGCTTGGTGGTGAGAGGATAAACATGGGAGGAGAGATGCTTGGTGGTGAGAGGTTGCCGTATCCAAAAAGAGAGAGAGGATAAACATAGGAGGAGAGATGCTTGGTAGTGAGGGGCTATCGGGAGGTATTTGGATAAATATAGGAGGAGAGAGAGTGAAACACAAAGAAGTTTGAGGTATATAAATGAAGAGAAAGAAATGATTGAGTTTAGAAAGAGCATGTCTTTTTTACATTTGTTTAGGTTAAAACATAGGTTTAAAGAAGTTAAGGGGTTGGAAGATATTTTAAAAAACTTGGATTTATTAAAAAATAAAATCTAAAAATAAACCATATGGAGATATTTTTTTAAAAAAATATTAAAAATAAATTTTTGATAAAATATAATGATCAAAATACCCTTTTTAAACTTTAAGAGGTATTTTCGTTATTTTATTTTATTGAGAATATTATTATTATTTTTTATAAGTACTAGCTTAATAGAGGATTTGATACCAAAAATTTGGTGTCAAATGTTTTATATAAAAAAAACTAAAAATAAAATAGTCTAGACCTTGTAATTGGAACAATCTTAACCCTCCATTTAGAATGGAGGTTCGGATAAGGGGAAGTTTATAAAGTTTATGTTGTCGGGGAAGCATATAAACCTTGCCTTTTAAGTCTTTGTGCCCCACTTTCACAACCCAAGAAAGCAAAATATATTCTTCCTTTCGCCGGTAACTACCATTCACAGACCTTGGCCAGTTTAGCGTGAAAATCTCACCCTTAAACACATGAAGTACCCTTCTCTCCAAATTCCAGATAAAATCATAAAGATTCGATCCGATTAAAATAGAAACGATCCAAATCCTGGCCAGAAAAACCATAGATTTCGATCCAACAACACACAACTGAACCCTCATCTCACCGGAAAACCACCATTTCCCCCTGGAATTCAGCCAATGTAAGCAACCCAGTTATTCAGAAACAAACTCTCAATCTCCAATTTCAAACCAAAATCACAGATATTCTGATCTCAATATTAAAAGGTTTGGCCACTCAACTCCAAAATCTACCCCAAATGATAGAAATTCCCACCCCAGTAACTCGGAAAGGGGATCCAAATCTCCAATTTCAGGACAAACCCTTAGAAATTCTAATCTCAACTTAGAAATAGGCTAGCCATCACCAAATTCCTGCAAAAAAAAAGAGATTCCGGCAAAAAACTTGCCAAAATCTGCGAAGAAATGGAGGCAAGCCTCTGGAGCAGGCTACCAGAGGAGCTCCTACACCTGGTTCTAGCTCACCTTTCACCTCAGAGGTTTCTAAAACTCAGGCCAACCTGCAGGGCCTTTAGCAACCTCATTCTATCTCCTTCCTTCATCTATCTCCACTCACCGAACAGAGCTTCACTCTCATTTTTGCTCATGTCTCACCCAAATCATCGAACCCAACTTCACCTCTACGAACCCATTTCAAGCCAGTGGCGCCTCCTCCCTTTTGCCCTTTCAACCCACCCCATATTTTCCATGGCCGGTCTCCTCTGTTTTTTCAATGGCTCCTGCTTTCTTCTCTGCAACCCCATCACGAAATCGTCTCGATTGGTGCCTTGCCCAAACCTCAAGTTCCTCTTTCTAACCATGATCCCAGGCGAAACCCCAAGCTCTTATAGGATTTTCATGGTGTCTGGTTCATTGGATTGCTGGCTCTATGATTCAACAGTAACCAGGTGGAAGAAAACATGGGTGTTCGATGAGAAAGCCGCAATGGATTTGGAGAGGTCAGGTGGAGTTTTCTCCAATGGCCTCCTGGTTTTTTCAAGGTCTAATCCTTTCTCTGTAACTGGTTTTCGATTAGAGACTAGAGAATGGGAAGAACTCGCCGGAGACTCACCAGAAAACCACCATTTTTGGCCAGAAGACCTCGTTTTCTCAAGGCTAGTAACCTGTGAAGGCCGAGTTTTCATGGTGGGTGGAATTGGGGTACATGGGGTATCAAGAGAAATGATTTTATGGGGTTTTAGAGAGAGAGAAAAGGATTGGGATGAGATCGAAAGAGTTCCTGTAATGATTTCTAGGAAGCTTTTCTCAGTATGTTTCCATAACTTTGAATTGGTTTGGTGTGTTGGGATTGAAGGGATGATATGCGTGTGTTGTTTGACATGGCCTGAGGTTTTGGTTTTTAAGGTGGGAAGAGGGACATGGCACTGGTTGAGTGTGTGTCCCTTCGTGGACTAGAAATGGACTTGTGGGTTTAGGTGGTCCTCTTTCCAGCCTGATCTCTATGCTCAGCCATGACATAATCAGGTGAGCTCTGTGTCGATTTCCAGAGGCCTATGAAGCTAGATCTGGGTTCCAATTTGTTAGAGAAAGGAGCTAATATGAGGAAAACTTGCAATGGATCATCTCTTTCTTCTCTTATGCCCTGCAGCGAGGGAGATGGGGCTCAAGGTGTGGGCCTTCTACTTTACTTGTTTGCTGCCGTTTGTTGAAAATTGTCATAATAAACAGGTGCTCAATGGATTATGAAATGAGCAGACCAACTATTTTTTCAGATTAGAAACTGACATGCCCGACATGTAATTACTTTGATTTGTAAAGTCTAATGTCATTGTAGGGCTTGAAATGGGGACTAGTTGGCCAGGCCGGGCTTGCTGTGACAAACTAGGACCTAGCCGGCAAAATGTGGCCCAAGGGCCAGGCCACCGCTGCCCGAGGACAGCGCCAGACCGAGCCAAGTCTAAGAGAAGTTATCCTTTTGTATGGACTGGTTAACCCGGTTGAGCTTGCTTTGAAAAACTAGGGCCAGGGCCAAGGCCACAAATGTAACCCAAGTGCTTGGCTACCATAGCCCGAGGATGGGGCCAGACTGGTCCAGGTCCATGACAAGGCCAGCTCGGCTTAGAATTCGATTGGTTGGCTTGACTGGGTTTTTGCCCTAAAGAGCTTGGGCCTCAGCCACAAATTGTGGCCCAAGGTTCGTGCCACCAAACAGCGTCAAGTCCTTGACAAGGCCAGCTCGGTCACGCTCTTTTTTTTCTCTAGTTGTTTTTCTTTAAGTTTGCTTTTATTGTATTTGGCGCAGCCCGTCCAAGCCCATTCAGGGCTAGGCCGAGCCTAAGCCTGGGCGTCTTCAGACTTGTTAATGCCAAACTAGGGTTGGGGCGGCCCTACAAGGACTTGGGCCAGAGCTGCCAAGCCAGTTGCCACCACAACAATTGATCATGCTCGTGAGTCCACCTAATTATATGTAAATATAGATCCGCTGCTCCAAAATTGATGCAAATTTGCTGATATGTTATTTTTTAGGCTCTGATAACCACTTGGCCCCTGATAGGATCTCTCAGATAAAGAAATGTCCTTATGAGAGAGAATGGTCATGCCGACTAATATGGTGCGTAGGGAACACCTTTACCTAGGTGGGAGGAAATAAGGTATCTTAAACATTCAAAATTTAAATATTTTCATATAAAAAATTTCAATCTCAAATTTTAGGAACACCTTTGCCTGGTTTAGAGGAAATAAGGTATTTTAAAAGAAAAAAGTTTATATAAGGATGCTACCTTATAATGTAGAACTACGTATGCCTTTCAAAAATCCATCGAAAAAGGTAGTTTTAATGTTGAAAAACCCTTTGATTGATCATCTCGACATTGAGATATATGACTATAAAAAATAAATAGATTTTAAGTCTAAAAAATAGTGTATTTTACAACATATTATCTACACTATCCATTTTCAAGATTTTCATATGTTTATAGATCTACTTGATTTTAACCATTTTTGAAATTTAAAATTTTATAGTTAGATATAAAAACAGATTTTGAGATAATCCAAAGAACTTTTTACATCAAAATTATATACCATGATAAAATTTAAAGGTGCACCTTATCACTATAGCTATAGATGCATCCGTATGCCAACTGCACCCATTTTAAAATTCAAAATTAAAAAATTTTCATATAAAAAATTCCAATCTCAAAATTTTTAAATCTCTAATTTGGATGAGAAATGAAAAATTTTTGAAAAAATTTATATAAGATTGCAACCTTAAAATGTAGAATTAAATATGCACCTAAAAAATCCATCAAAAAAAGTTGTTTTAATAGTGAAAAACCCTCTAATTGATCATCTTGACATCAAAATTCAATATCATCATTTCCATTTCTACTATATGTTAATCATTTCCTCCAAAACCCTTTCGTCAATCAATTTTTCACTCAATTCGTCTACTTATCTCACTCTTTTGTCCCTTCTAAGAGGCTCCCTCCTCTCACTCAACAAAGACCCTCTCTCCATCTCTCTCAATGGAGACCCTCTCTCTCTGAACTCATATATCTCTTTTTAGTTCAGCCCCTTAATCTCAATCTCTCTCTCTAAACCATTAAGGAGTGTAGAGGAAGACGAGAATTTTCAAGAGAGCTTTATGCAGTGCATCAATGGCGTCAATAAAACCTCATCATAGAGCCACAGATCAAATCCATTTGCTTTCTCTGTTTCATCCATTGTTTTGATTCATTATTTATGAGAAGCTGAAAAATTAATGGCCTAGGTTTCAGTTTGCGGATCTGGTAGAATTCGCTCCATTATTATTATTTATTTATTTTCTTTTTTTTTACAGTTTTAAGCAATTGTTGAGACTTTTAAAAGATACATTTTCTAGAAGGTAGCTAAAACTTTATCGCAAAGATATTTGGAGATCAGAGAAGAAAAAGTGGAGCAATGGAATTTTAGGTATGGTGTAATCAATCTCTCTTGTTAATTGTTTCCATATGGGATATACTTTTGTTGAGCGAGTGAGAGAGAGAGCATGAATATTTTTCAAGTACAACACCGGTTAGGAAGTACAAGTTAGTTGAAGTGGAAGAACTGAATAGCGTAAAGGGTATGCTCAAAAGGACATGGTCGAAAGTAGTATGAAAACATATGCGGACTTATGGCCTCACTAAGGATAGATATTTAGAGATCAAAGAAGAAAAAATGGAGCAATGGAATTTCAGGTATGGTGGAATCAATCTCTCTGGTGAATTGTTTCTATATGGGGTATACTTTTGTTGAGAGAGAGAGAGAGCATGAATAGTTTCCAAGTACAACACGTGTTAGGAGGTGCAAGTTAGTTCAAGTAGAAAGATTGAATAGGGTAAAAGGTATGCTCAAAAGGATGTGGTCGGAAGTAGTCAGAAAACATATACGGACTTACGTCCTCACTGAGGATATAGCCTTAAACAGTGCAGAATGATATATTAGAATTCATGTAGCCAACCCCAATTAATTAAAAAAAAACTATGATGATGATGGGAGGAGGTAGATGTTGTTGATTGCCATTGCGACAACTTAGTTTTACTGGTCACCTCCTCTTTCGTCAAATGCATTTCAAAGGCTAACTATGAGGAGGCCGTTAATGACGTCCCTAACACCCTCTGCTTCAAGGTTCTCTCTACTCTTTCTCTCTCCACTTTGGATATTAGTACCACTTTCTCTCTCAGCTCCTCATCATTTGACCCATCTACCGTTGGAGTATGGCTACTAAGGCCTCATGATTACCATTTAGTTGTAGTCTCTTTTTTTTTCTATGATTTTAAAATGCATTTAATAATATTATCTTCTTATAATAGTCTTATTTTTTAAAATGCTTTGACCACTCTTTTTTAATAAATGACATTGTTTTTTCATTTTTTAAGCCACCCATTAATAGTGCAATGACAACCATTTTTTAATCAAGATGTTTTTGTTTAGAGGAAGAGAGAGAAATAGTTTTGGAGAATGAATGTTGCTGTAAAGCCTATGGATAGCTGTAGGAATGGGCAGATGGCTCTGAGATTTTTCTCTATATTTTCTAATCAGTGCCCTTTTATAAGCATTAGAGCTTATCCCGTTGCCACATATGGCAAGTTTTGCATCTAATGGTCTAGATTGCTCTGTGCCCATATCAACAGCTAAGCCTTCTTTCTCCATTCTCATTCTCATTCTCTCTCTCTCTCTCTCTCTCTCTCTCATTCTAAAGAAAAACGTCTTGATTCAAAAATGACCATTAATGCACTATTATTGGGTAGCTTAAAAAAGAAAAAAACAATGGCATTTACTAAAAAAGAGTGTTAAAAAGCAGTTAAAGAACATAAGACTATTATAGGAAAAATAATATTATTAAATGTGTTTTAAAATAATAGGAAAGAGATGGACTACAACTACATGATAATCATGAAGCCTTAGTGACCATACTCTAACACTCCCACTTAGCCATAAGGCCGAATGCACCAACGTTGCTAAGCCATAAGGTTTTTTTCTATTAATGGTTTTGCCCAATGTGACATACCCCGTTACAAGGTTTTATCCATTTAAATGTGCTTCCTTGAGAATAAAATATATATGTCTTTAAGTCTTATAATGTCACATGCTTGAAAAACACTTCAATATTCAATTCTTTAGTTAAGGGGTCTGTTATCATATCATTGCAAGGCAAATAAGTTAGTGCAAGTTTTTTTTTTTCTGCATTGTCCAGGATATAATGACAATTAACTTCTATGTGTCTGCCCTTAGAGCTAATTGCTCCATTTTTAATTAACGAAATCGCAATCTGGTTATCACAAAATATATGAACTGGCTTGTTGACTATTTCCAACTTCAAATTCTTAATGAAAGGGCTTTTCTAAGCAGCAAAGGTAGAAGCTATACCACAAGAAATGTATTTCGCTTCCATTGTGCATCGGGCAATACATTCCTATTTCTTACTACACCTAAAAACTAAACCTCCTCTAAAGAGAAAAATATTTCTAGAAGTAGATTTTCTATCATTAGGATCTCCAACGAAGTCTGCATCGGAGAATCCTTGAATTTGCAAGGTTATCAGCCTGATAGCATAATTTATAGTGTTTGGTTCCTTAGATATATATCTAAGTATCTTTTTAATTGCTTGTCAATGAGTCATACATGTGTTACTTTGAAATCTACTAATATATCTTATTATAAAATTAAAATCAGGTTTTGTACAAAGCATAACATACATAATAGACCCAATGGCTTGTTTATATAGAATGTGTTCCATTTCAGCCCTATCTGCATCATTAATTGGACATTTTTTCTTTGATAGCTTCGCGCCTTTGTAAATATGAGTTTTCATAAGTTTGCAGTTTTTTATCTTAAATATCTTAAGAATATTCTCTAGATATTTTGTTTTGAGATAAATAAAGAAGCCTAATTTATATCCTTGGTAATCTTTATTCCATAAAATATAACGATTCTCCCATATCCTTCATTTCAAAATGTGAATTAAGCGAAGATTTACTTTTATTTATCATTTC